TCTCTCCCTCTCCCTCTCCCTCTCCCTCTCCCTCTCCCTCTCTCTCTCTCTGACAGAATTAATTTGACTGTCAGCAAAAAACTAGGCTTTGAATACTTGGACTCTTACATTGATGTGAATTTCAAGTAACAGATCACCCTGGAAGTTAAGCCCAGAGACTGAGACTGGAGACCATATGTGGAAACTGCACTGTATATCACTATGAATTGCTACTTTTTAGTAACATCTACTGAGTTACTCAGAGAAACAACTTGGAGTCATTCTAAATGCCTCCCTCTCATTTTAATCTAAGTTGTTGAACTTGATATTTCTTCTCACCGTTGAGTTCCTTTCGTATAACCTTTACTCAATGTTATCCTGTTTGTCCCTCAATATCTCACTTAGAGTAATTCTACTGACTGTCAGTGAGCCGGATGCTAGCTGGTTTATGTTTATTCTAAGGCATTTTGTTGTTGGAATTCCATTTTTTCTATTTTATATCCCCAGCACTGAGCATGGTGTCATGACCATCAAATATATCACGAATAAACAAAGCATGACACTATTCAAAGCTAGATGGGATGGACTGATGTGCCTTTCACATAATTCATAGTGACATAAATTTCCCCAGGACACACACAATATAAACAGACTGATGATTCTGCAAACATTTACAAAATGAGAGCAGGAATAACAGTGTCCATCCATATTATATTACGTATTGTAAACACCTTTATGACTGGACAATACATGCCCTAGCAATTTCTCTATCAAGAAATTTGTCATACAAAACTGTTATGAGAGAAAGATTTTTAACAGATAAATTTGCATAATAGATACTGCAGTAAAACAGTATATTCTTCAAATCATACTTCTTCATGGACTGACTGTAATGATTCTGACTACCCCTCCACTGTGTCTACTTGTCTATAAAGAAGGCGTGGTTTTTAAAAATCCTCTATGCTTCTTCTAAGGATCAATAAAATAATGAATGTAAAACCTCTATGCCAGACCTTTCCACACAGATGTATTCATTGACTACAATGTCATTGGAAACTTTAGCATTGGGCTGGGGTTGTGGCTAGATGAAGGGTGGTGTATATACAAATAGCACTCATGTGTCATGATATATTTGAAAATAATTGTAACAAATATTTCATGATGATGCCTCTTAGATTTTAAGGTGAGTTGTTTGTCCAGTAGCAAGTATCAATATGAGAAAAAGACAGAGAGACAGGTTTAACACAGAAACAAAACACACAGAGAAGCTGAAATGGCCATGTGGGGGCTAAGGAAGAATTATAGCAAGGTCTGAAGATAAAGATACCCCAGAAGCATGAAGAGCCAACAAGTGTCACCTTTGTCAACAAAAGAAACAGCTCTCTCAAGCTGGGTGTGGTGGCACAAGCCTTTAATCCTAGCACTCAGGAGGCAGAAGCAGGTGGAACTCTGTGAGATCAAGACCAGTTTGGTCTCCAGATCGAGTTCCAGGCCTGCTGTGGCTACAGGGAGACCCAGTCTCAAAAAGACCAAAAACAAAACAAAACAAAAACTTTTATCTCAAAGGAATAAAAGAGATGGTTTATTCTGAAGTCAAATATGAGTGACCATAGCCTGGGAACACAGACTTAGGTTTCCCCAAATACCATGGTCCAATGAGGTAGTGAGTTTATGTACTTTTTATGGAAACAGAACAAAGAAACTCATAAGTCAACATAATTTTCAAATACTTTGGTAGGTATATTCAGTTGGTGGGTTATAACAAAATGGGGAGAATTCTGCTATAGACTTTAGATGCTATCTAATGACATTCTTAGCTTTTTGGTTGGTGGAAGCTGGTGGTCTGCTAAGTTATACATTCCAAATGTTTTTTATCTATGTCACAGGATGTGAAGTCAGAAACAGAGGTGGGCAAAGAATGATTATTTAGGGGGCTAAAGATGGCCCAAGATAAATGGTAATCAGTCTCTGGACCTGTAGCATTCCAAACTCTCCACAATCATTAAAGTTTTAATCAGCTGATTAGCCTTGCAGGAGGTTCAGTTGAAGATGCAGATTTTTTTTTCTGGGAATTTTTGTTCATATTTTAGTTTTCTGGGAGGGAGAATCGCCCCACTAACATGATTTTGAACCTCTAACTTCTAAGCTTTGAGGGAATAAATTTTCTTTATTTTAAGCTTCTTAGTTTGGGCATTTTGATGAGGCAAACCTAGAAACTAATGCATACTTAGGTACTGGGATGTGACATGCTGCCATAACAAATACCTAAAACGGTGGAAGTTTCTAGAAGTTAGTAATGGGCAGAAGCTAGAAGAATTATAGGAGGCATAATAGAAATGTTTTAGATTGTTTGAAAGGGAATGTTTGTGAAAATATGGGCACTAGATGATTCTGGCAAGGGCTCAGAAGGAGGTGAGGAGTGTGTCACAGAAAGCTCCTGTCACTTGAAGGAACACAGACATCATCACCAGTAAAATGACGGTAAAAAAATGAGCATTAAGGTCACTTCTTGTAAGACTTCAGGAGGAAATGAGGAGAGCATGGCTAGAAACTGGCAAAAGAATCTTTTAATATAGTGGCAGAAAAACTTGGCTGAACTGAGTTTTACATTTGTGGATTTTAGCCCTGGTGATTCTCAAGAAATTATTGAAGGTGATGTCTGGTTTCTCTTTGCTGCTTAGAGTAAAATGTTATAGGAGAGAAATTAATTGAAGTAAATCTATTAAGCAAAAAATGAACAAGCACTTCTTAATTTAGGAGACTTTTGACCTACCAATCTAGATTGCAAAGGATGCTGCAATTAGGAAAATCCTCTTGTGGAAGCATGTTCTAGAAAGAAGTCCTAGTGTGCAGATAACTTGTTGAGGGTTGACCATGTGATATGTGAATCTATGGATCGCTTCTGCATGAGACAAAAATGAAGATGGGATCATCCACGAAGAATTAGTGGAACCTGCTTTTCTGTTTTGGTAAAGATCCCACGTGCATACACAGAAGACCCACAGGGTTCTAAAAGTATTGAATTATTAGATGATGGTTTAGATAGATTTAGAGTTAGAATTTATGCCGACGTGTAAGCATGAAGCTAATGCCACATTAGTTTACGGCTTATGGAAATTAGAATGCAATGACTATAAATGGTTCGCATTTGGTATAAATGTGAACTTTGGAGGTCCAGTAGAAGTCCTACAACTTTGAACTAAAGGAGACAATGAAGCATGGCTATTGCTTATTTTAACACAGGCTATTCTTTAAGAAAGAGTAGTATGGTCACTGTTCAGTTCTCCAAATATATGCCTCCATCCTAGCCACCAGAACCCATGGACCCCAGAAGACTAACCCCAGATTTATTTGTTTTAGTGGTATAATTAAGTTCTAGGTCTCAAAGTGAGACTATGTTGTATTTTCTGGTAGGTATTTTGTGTAACTGACAAATGTGCTTTTAAAAGAATAGCAGAGGGAAATTAGAAAAAGAAAGAAGTCAAAGAATGAGAATGTGAACCATCCTTGTAAAAATAAATATCAGGAAATGCCGGAGTCATCAGGAACCCAGTCAGCAACAAGCACTCTCCCTGAAATCCTCAGAGGTCACACTGTCCTGGCTGCTTAGTGCTTTGGATATTCAAACTCGCGTAAACACAACAGGAAAATGTTGTCTTAATACGTATAGTTTGTGTAATCCTAATTTGATAGCGGCCCCAGGAAACTAATCCAGTGCCACAGCGCAAAGCTGAGATGCATGTGCCTTGAATAACCATGAGTGAAATGCTTCCGGGACTCAGCATTGTACTGACAGGACTTTGGGTTGACAGATTTCCGTGGCGCCAGGGCCTATGAAAGCCCCCATATGTCTAGTGGAAAACAAGAACAAGCAGCTGTCGGTGAATCCGAAAGCCGTTCAGATCCTTAACAGTATCTCTCAGCCTGTGGTTGTGGTGGCCATTGTGGGAATGTACCGCACCGGAAAATCATACCTGATGAACTGCCTGGCGGGGCAGAACCACGGTGAGTGCTGTGGATAGGGGTCCTTCCCTTGATCCTTCCTTCTGCTATAGTGACATCATGGGAGACTCCAACCTCTCTCAGGAAACAAAGCTCATTCTTCAGTCTGAGTTATTTACTTTACGGGAATCTCTTCCCCTTTTTATGCTCTTTCTCTTGTTAGGACCTCTCCTTTTGGTTCTCAGGATCATATTCATTAAAAATTAAAAGTTTTTTTTTTGAGACAGGGTCGCCCTGTAGCCCCAGCTGTCCTGTAACTCACTATGTAGACCAGGCTGGCCTTGAACTCACAAAGATCTGCCTG